CCCGGCGCCCCCGCCGCCCCCGCCGCCCCCGCTGTCCTGCTGCAGTTGCTGCTGTGCCGCCTTGTCCTTGGCCTGGCGCTTCATCTTGTAGCGGTGGTTCTGGAACCAGATCTTGACCTGCGTGGGTGTCAGGTGGATCATGCTGGCCAGGTGCTCGCGCTCGGGCGCCGACAGGTACTTCTGTTGCTTGAAGCGTCGCTCCAGCTCATACACCTGCGCCTGGGAGAAGAGCACCCGGCGCTTTCGGCGCGGCGCGCTCGGCAGCGGGGCCATGTTCTTGCTCACGTCCCCTAGCGAGCCCAGGCCGCCCATGCCGCTCATGTTCATGCCGCTCGCGGGGCCCATGAAGCGGGAGACTGTAAGCGACAAACGCACAGCGTCGGCCAGGGCCGGGCCGGGCCAGGACACCCCTGCCTTCCGCGCCCTTGGCCCGCCCGGCCCACCCCGACGGCGCCCTCCTCACCCAGGCCGCCTCGCGCTCTGCCCCGAGAGGCCCAGCCGCCGGGCATCGCCAGCGCCTGCCCGAGGCGGTGTTGTCGAGGGACTTACGGGAGAGCCCCCTGCCTCAACCCTGGCCCCGGTTACCCTCCCTCAGTCTCAGCGCTTGACCCAAAAAGCCCAGTGGGGAGGGATGCTCCTGCTCCCTTCGTGCCCAGCTCCCGCTGGAGTCACGGGGTTAGCTGGGCCAGAGGCGGCGAGCTGGGCCCAGGTCGAGAGCTGGGGACCGACGGTAGATCCCAACTTGGGCAGCTCTCAAAGCGAGGGGTGTTCACTTCGGAAAGCTCAAGCCCCCAGACGCTTTGCCTCTTGTCGACTCTCTCCTGTCCGCCCCAGTGTGGGCACCTGCTCGGCCTGTTTAGAGCCGCCTCCGGAGTCATGCGCGCTCCCACCTGCCCAGACTCCACCGGAAAGCGGGCTCGCCGGACGCCGGAGCGCGTCTCAGCAGGGCAGGCTCCCACCCAGCCAGGCCGCGCCTCTCCCCGCCCTGTTTGCCCCTGCTCCCTTTGCTCGCGGAGTGCTTCCCTCAGCTACTCGAGGTCTCCCGCGCCGAGCGGAGGTGCCGTCGGTCGCCTGGGAGGTGCCGAGTGGGAACACTTGCCCGCCCTACCAAGTGCCTCTTCCTGGACCCTCAGCCCAGCCAGGGGAACAACCCTCTGCTCCTGCGCTCGACTCCCTGGCGCCGCTGCCTGGCAGCCTACCCTGTTGCCCAGCGCGCAGCCGGCCGGCGCCGTGCCTTCAGAGCGGCTCTCCCCACGCCCCCCGCGCTCAGCCCGCGGCCCCGCAGTGGAGCGGCCTCACTTACTGGCGGGGAAACGCGGGTCTGGGTTGGCGCCGTACCATCCGGGGCCCGAGGCGCTGCTCCTCATGGTGTCCTGGTACGGTGGCAGCTCACTCATGTTGCCCAGGTTGCCGTTGCAGTAGCCCCCCACCGCGGAGTGCGAGAGCTGGGGCACCCCCGCCGCCGTCATGTGGTAGGCGGCGGTGACGGCGCCGTGGTGCCCCACGGCGTGCTGCTGCATGGCCGCGGCCGGCGGTGCCGCCTGGCCCTGCCTGTAGGCCGCCAGCGGAGCCCCGAGGCCGCCGCCCTCCATGCCCACTTTCTTGTAGCTTTCCTCCAGGGGACTCAAGATGTCAGACACTGAGAACGGAGTCGTGTGCTTTGGACTCATCGACATGATTCGGCGGCGGCTGGAGGAGGAAGGAAGAGGAGGAAAAAAAAAGGGAGAGGGGGAAGGCGAAGCCTCGTTGCTTTTTTTTTCCTCTCCCTTTGCCAAATATTCTGGTGTTACCTTAACGCCGATCTTGTTGGATGTACACGTAACGGAGTGGACCGAGTCCGCCTTAATTGGCTTGAGTGGAGGCTCGGGGGCTGCCTCGCGTTTGTTTTAGCCCGGCGCCAGGTTTTAGGCAGACACCAGAGGCGGGGCGTAAGCGCTAAAGCAACAAGACAATAGAAGCCTACATCTTGCCCAAGATAATTAGCTTACATGCTGATGACAAGGTAAACACCTTTAAGTTTCACTTGTCAGGATTTTTAGGTCTCCAAGAGAGATAGAAAGAGAGGCAGAGACACGACTCAAAGCATTTCTTTCCCCCTCCCCCAGTTACCCCCGCCCCCAATTTTTGTGGGGTGCCGGTTGCAAGCGGGGGGAGGCGGGGGAGGGGAAGGAGGAGGGAGCCGAGTGCCGGGAGGGCAGGAGGTGGGGTGGGGAGTAGAGGAGGAGGAGGGATGATGAGGAGGAAGGAAGGTGAATGCTGCTTTGCAACCAACTTGCAGAGTTACAAAGTGGAACCACTTTCCAATTCGGTCGGGGTTCCCCGGGCGGGCACAGGTTCTGAAGGGGGAGGGGGTCAAGGAGAGGGGTGGGGGTTTCACCTGAGCCTGCCGGGGCTGCTCCTCCCTCCCGCCGCGGCCTCCCAGCCCCGCGCCTTCCCACTGCCTCTGGACCACATCTGGCTTCGCGGCGCTGAGCCCCAGCCGCCACCAAATGAGCGAGAGTCTGAGGACGAACCCTGGGGCCGCACCGTTGGTCTGCGTGTCTGTCAGTCTGTCTGCCTCTTCTGCCGCCGTCAGAGGGACATCCTCTGCTCCCCGCCCCCTTTCCCCCTACCCGAGAGAATCTGCGCGGGCGGAGGGGGCGCTGAGCAGGGGATCGGCTGTCGCCGAGAGGCTGTCCCGGGTCTCCGCGCTGCCCCCCCTCACCCCAGCTGAGGGGCTTTTCAGAAGGCCAGGTCCGCCGCATCACGCCCCCCCTCAAAACACACATGCGATTCTTCTCCCCACCCCCACACTCGACAGAGGCAAGCGCACCACTGGCCGCCTGGGCTGGGGAGGATTGGGGGGGGGACTAGCGGGAGGGGCCATGAATGAAGTTGCCCCACCTCAAACAAACCTGGTGTCCCCGACCCTTGCCCATCGCCCGGACACGCGAGATTATAGATCTGGAGCTGACTTTCCGAGGACATCGCAGCCCCAGCACCCAAGGGCCAGGGCCACGCTCTTATCCCCTCTGGTGCTTGAAGAAGGACGCGGGCAGGGAGCGGTGAGTGCCCGCACGCCTGTTGCGGCACGGGACTCAGCCTGAACCCTGGTGGGGCCGGCCAGGAGGGGGCGAATCCCCAGGCGCCAGCAGCGCAGCAGCGGGAGGCTGAGTTGGGGCTCTCTTCTGCCCAGAGCTGAACCATGCAAAAGTGCACTTGCTTTCCCGGGAATAACCAAATATCTTTGTTTAAAGTGGCGGCGTAAATGGCCAGTTGCTTTGTGACCACGCTGGATATTAGTAGACAAGGATCATTCTGCTTCAATCGGGCGCCTCTCAACCAGCGAGCAAGAAACTGCTTAGGAGGAAGTGGGTTTCCTGTCTGCGCGTTCCCAGGTTTCAAGAGCAAGCCCCGCGCCTTGAGGGTCCTTGGGCGCCTGGCGAGGGGGAGCTGTGGGCTGCGTTCCCCGCGCGGGGCCTGGGATGTCCGCTGCGCCGCTCATGCCAAGCCCAGGCCCAGGCTGAGTGGACCACGGAGCCGGGCCGTGTGCCGCAGATCCTGAAACCGACTCCGGCTTTTTGCCCCTTGGATTTTAAACGTGTCTCTCTCTCTCTCTCTCTCTCTCTCTCTCTCTCTCTCTCTCTCTCTCTCTCTCTCTCGCTGTCTCTGGCTGTTTTAGCCTCCTCTCCACGCTAGGGGCTGGGAGGGCGGAGCGCTCCCTGGCCGAGCAGGGGTCTACAAGACACTGCGGGGGCCTTTCAAGGAGGTTTCTCGAATTTGGGTTTTTGTTTTCACGTTTCCTTTTCCCTCCTTGTAAGAGAGAGCTCCCGATGATAAACAAGCAGTTTTGGACTATTTAATTCAGCAGGTTAGGCGCCTTTTTCATTAATAGCAATTATAGTAGGGAAAACTGTTTTATTCACTGTTTAAGATTTCGATCATCTCCTTGAGGCGTGCTCCGCACTCCCCCAGTATACAGCCAACTTCTATACTCGCCTTCGCGGGCCTCATCAACTATATTCCTTCCTAGGCGAGAGAAAGTTCAAAGCACCTCCTGGCCTCCCGGGGCTTGCGCTTTGGCCCCTGTTGGCTCTGGGGCAGCCAGCCCTGCGTTTGCGCGCAGAGACGCGCTCGCCAGCTGCGTCGCGGCAAAGAGGCACGAAGTCCGGCGCCTTGCCCTTCCTTCTCTGGGGGGCGCTCTCGTGAGGGACTCAGACCTCACCAACTGAACTTTGGTCAATGTGATGTCTGAATCCAGGGAACAAAGAGGGAAGGTGACGCCGAGCTCAACTGAACAGCGGAGGACAGTGAGCAGACCTTGTCCAGGCCTGCGTCCTGAAAGGGGTCTTAATGCTAAGGAGGGGTTGCTTTCTCAGTTACTCGTTTTGTCTTTCTCTCTTCCTCTCCATAATTTCAGACTTGAGAAGTGTAAGGAACGCCAAGTGTAGAACGTCTTACAGCTCTCCCAAGCGTAATGTCATTTCGAAATGGAGATAATTCTTCACAAGGTTTTTGTGAGATTCAAATAAGATCTAGCACATGAAATGCTTTGAGATGTGTTAAGCTCAGTGCCAGCACTCAAGATTTCTATAGTCAGTTATTATTAATATCCTCTTCTCTCTGCTTTAGGGCCTCGGACCTGAGCGAAGGAAAGAGTCGGGGGAATCTTCCACTGTCGTTGGGCCTTGCCAATTCGACCTTCGTCCCCCGGCCGCTTTCCAGCCCCGCAGCAGGCCCAGGCGCACGTGGCTGGCAGCTTCCCGGCCCCACTGCCCGGAGAGCCCGCGAAGAGCCCAAGCCTGAGCTCCCTCCCGAGACCACGAGCTCTGGGCGAGGACTGGGAGACACGCAGCAGGCAGCGGGTCTCCGCGCTGAGCAGGAGCCAGAGTGCGCTTGTGGGGGGCGGGCAACAGCTCCTGCTCCACCCTCTTTCCCGCAACGCACACTGTCTCCAACCTCCGCCCGACCGGCTCGCTTCTCCAGCAAGCACCAGCTCCCGCCTGGGCCTTTGCAGCGCCTTGCGCCCAGGCACCCGGCGCCTCTTCCAACTCTGTCCCTTCACAGACACACACACACACACACACAGCTCTGCACTCTTTCCAGGCGCGCTGCACTGCCAAGTATAAGTCCAAACACTAAGGCACACCTTGTAGGAAAAAGGCATATATATATGCGTTAGTTTATCTATCGTAAAAGTCTCTGGCAAATGGAAAGGACTGTTTGCCCTTATACTACATATACATATGTAGTCTCGGAGATTGTCCAAACAAGGGCCTTAAGAATCTTTCCCCTGGCCCCAACACTTGTCGTGACCGAAGGGTTTCCTTTCTTGCCGCCGCCTCCAGGATTCATCTTCAATAGTGCGACCCCCTATTAACCAGTGGTTTCTCCAAGTGGAGCATGGCTGCAGGGAATACTTAGGAACTCCAAGTCCACCCCGCGGGGCCCAGGCTGGCCCGCCTCGTATTCCTTCATCCCGCAACTAACTCGCTCCCCGGCGGGTGGGCGGAAGTGCGGCAGCGGGCAGGGCAGCTTTCCCTGGCGCGGCAGCACACGCCCGCCTCAGACCTCTGCCACATTCCGCTTCGCTGGCTGTAGCTCTGTCCGGAATCACCCACCAGCGGAGGCGCAGGGCCAGGCCGCACTGGAGAGGCCTGGAGCTGCCACCAGCCTTTGCCCCTCATCCAAATAGCCGAAGAGAAACGCTCCTCTCTCCCTCCAGTGTCACTTCTTTGAAAGCCTAGAACAGAAACTCTACAGAAGACTAACTCGGTGTCCACAGCACCGACTTGATTGAGACGAGGAGAGACCGCCCGTTTTCCCACCTCTTGCTACCTTTTCTAATTCCCTTTATGGTCCTTCACACCTCTCCGAGGGCGCCGACGACCTTGTCTCTTCTTGGTGGTGTTATTTTGCTCCGAGTTTAATCGCAATTCATGATCCGTTCAACAAATTTTTACTGAGCGCAGACTCTCTGCCAGGCACTGTGCTAGGCCTGAAAATTCACCCTTAAGCAAGCTAGACGCGGTCCCTACCCACTGGGAGCTTACACTTTAACAAGAAATCACTCAAATAATATGTTACTTTGTGACAAATATTACTGCAGGATCCAACCAAGATAGAGAGGGTTGTAATGAAGGTTTATGTGTGGGTTTCCACACCATTTCTCCATCTTCAAGCGCTCTAGGTCTTAGAAAGAGTACTTGAGTAGAAGTCAGAAGTCCTGGGGTTTGAGATAGGCTTTGCCACTTTCCAGCTATGTGGTACAGCTATTGTGGGCTCCCTCTGCATCCTGGGGCCACTCCTATTACAGCCAGAGTAAAGCTGTGTGCTGTTTTCTGGCCCCCCTCCCCTGAGTGAGACCCTGTTTTATTTATCCTTGACTCTCCCAGTGTCCCAAGAAATGTTGAATAGGAAATAAAGCTTCTTAGGGCCTATTTCCTGAGCTGCAAAAAATGGTCATAACCTGTGTAGCTTCCAGGATTGTTGTGCTAGAGATCCAACTAACTAAGAATGAAGTAACGTGCGTTAGTTTATATATCGTAAAAGTCTCTGGCAAATGGAAGGGACTGTTACTTTTGATTCTGTATCTTGGTTTATAGAAAACGGAAGAGGTTATTACTTTTGATTCTTATCTTGGGTTTGAATCCAGGTCTCTGACCCTCTGCGAAAATCTGTCGGCCCCTAGGCTACTCTGGCTCCCAGGCCGGTGGTGGGAGTGTTCCCCGTAGTCAGGTGCAGGCTTTAGGGCTGGGTGGAGCCTAGATTGCTTAACACCTTCGAGGCAACTAAACCCCGGGAATAGGAGGCAGGAACGCAGCCGGGCACCTGAGGTCGGTGATCTCCAGTCCCCAGATCGAGTCTTCCTGGTTCCTCTCCATGAAGAGTCTCACAGGGCCCCCTCCACGTCCTTTTCCAAAACACAGACCAGAGAGCTTCGAAAGGTCCGCGCAAGGTCCTGGGGTGCGCAACTGGGCAACTTTCCTGAAGAGGGTTTCGCAGACGCGGTGCAAGAAACAGATAAGGAGATCTGCGCGAAGGCACACTCTCTCTACAGCTCCCTCTCCCTTCAGCCTGACCATCTACGGCCTTTGAGGGTAGCCCTTCTTTTGGGGACACTGTCTCAAGTCTTGGCCGCTGGGCAGGCCGAGAGGGACGCAGAGACATCCGAGAGCGGCTCCTGTGCCACGCTCCCCCTTCACCCACGCGCTCTGCGATTGGAATGCGGAGGTGACGGCACGCCTGTGAAGGCCAGAGTTCCCCTGGAGAAGAACCCGCTCCTTTGCCGGGTCAAGACCTCCTGGAGGTCTTGGAATCCACATCCTTTCAGGTCGCTCAGTTTGAAGCCTGAATTCAACTCGTCCCACACAGTTACGCACATCCCCTGGTGGCGCAGTGGCTAAGAACTCGGCTACTATCCAAAAGATCGTCATTTCAAATCCACCAGCCGCTCCTTGGAAACCCTATAAGG